ATATTTTTTAGTTGTCATGTGAACAACCCTTCAGGAGCTTGCTGAAGCTAGCAACCTAACAAAGGGGAGATTTGTGATAAACTAAGGTGATTGCTGTAATTATTTCGATTGCAATATAGATTATTTTTATTATTTACTTTCCACTGTGTTACAAGAACAAAAGCAAACTGCAAGTTAACGAAAACAGAATATTAAAGATTTTGGATAAAAATTTTAAAGATTACATGTTACATATATGTTATATATCTGTTTTATACATATATAACATACTACATAACATACTTCTGTTCTTAAAAAATTATACCTGAACTTCAACAAAGACAGCCCAACATAGCCATACCTTTATCTGTTTGTAAACTATTTCTAAATATAGTATTACAAGAATAGTATGAATTATAGAAGTGGAAGTGTATACTGTTCAAAGAAGAAGACAAAACCAATTTCTTCATGAATTCCACACGATATGAGTCAAATAAAGTTGCAAATGCTTCCTGTCTTTGTACCATTGATCCTGCTCTTGGCATATTGGATACATTTGCTAAGCTGGGCATGAAATTGGTAGGTGGGGAAAATGGAGCTGAAGCCCTGATTCTGCCATTCTTTGGTTCTTGAATGGACATTCCACAAATTGGGTGGCACCCAATGGATTGCATTCAAAGTTAGTCTAACTTATGTCCTATCCATTTAAATGGTCTATTGCTCAAAGCAGGACTAGCATTGGATAACTATTATCTATGTGTTCTAGCCAAGAGGAGAAACTTGCCCTTGCCTTTTTAAATGCAACTGTAAGGTTGGGAGGTTGAAGAGGAGATGGTTACTGGAGTCCTAGAAGATTGGCTGGTAATTGTGTTCACATCATGCTACTTAATGATGCTACTTAATGCAGCTGATAAGCTCATTTGTTTATTTTTAATTGAAAATGAGTGTGTTGGATGGGAAACATGGCACAAATGTACCCCTCCCCACACTTCCCACAACCTTCCTGAAAGTCCCACTGTGTGGCTTTTTAGAAGCTTCTATTGGCACCACTTGAGCCTTAAAAAATCCCCATGAGTGTGGGATGAATTTTGAGAAGGAAACTGCTGGCAGGATGGGCATATTAAATCTTCCCTTATTGTACATGCAGTGGTCCCTGCTTGTACTGAGACATCACATACTTCTATTCAAGTAAAAAATAAAGGGCCATCCACATACTATAATCCACATAACTGAGAATATAATTCAACACATATTTGAAAGAAAAAAGTCCTATGACTCCTATCATTCCCCAATCAGCATGGATATAATGGCTGGGCTCTGACTACATGTGTATGGCTTGAGTGCAGGTTGTTGTTGGAATTGGGATTGCTGTATCATCTGGACCCAGCAGAGCTAGGAAGCCATGGCCTTTTAACCATGAATTACCCATGAAGAGAATCCATGATTGTGAACTATGGATTACTCACAATGATTTATTATCTCACCTGTGCTCAGACAACAAGTTGACCTATGTTTCAACAGCAACCAATAGTTCAATGATAACCCATACTCAAGACCTGAGTGTAGGAAAATGCAATGTCTGAAGTACCTGAGATAAGGAACCATGGTGAACAACATTCAGACAAGGAAACCCACATTTCAACAACATTGTATAGTTCAGTGACAATCTACATTCAACTCCTGAGTGTGAGCTATCATGTTGTCTGAACTTAGTCAATCTGTAGTTCTTTCCTGACAAGGCATGCAAGTATTTACTTGGTTTGGGAAATTACAGATGAATGGTCCACAGTAAACAAGGAAACTAATGAGGACTCCTCTGTCAGGTGAGTCGATTTTGGCAAAAGGCCATGCTTTTTTCTCCACCTCTTACCTTTAGCTGAAGCCCTCCCCACCACCAAATCTGTATTCATTTGCCTGTGCTTAAAGTGTAAATACTAATTATCCTTATAGTTGCTGCTGCTGTTATTGTTTAATTTCATTTCTAGACTGTCCAATAGCTGAAGCTCTCTGAATGGTTCACAACAATTGTCAAAGTACAATAATAAAAACAGATACAGTAAAATATAAATACAATTTAAAAATGATTATGCTTTGCTACCTTGTCAAAATTATTATAAAGCCTACCATACCAATGAACGTTTATACAACTGTTGGAACTTAATGACAAAGAAAATGGCAGCAAACTGGCAAACGTACTACTTGCCTTTAATCTGTCACAGTGATCAGATATGTTTAAGACGACCAAGCTGAATTGACCAAGGATCTTCCTACGAAACCTTTCTTTACGGGCAATATCTATGCCAATAATTGAGAATCTTTGTAACAACTTTACTCAGGAAGGGATGCCACCTTTACATACACATCTTCTGCATGCTGTTTTTTTGATAGTTGAGGCTATGCAGATTTCAAACACACCCACAAAATTGCACAGTATATTGTGCTAACCACACTTCTGATAAAGCAAAGTGAATGGATTTTATCCCAGAACCTAATGAACAGGAGCTCTTTTCATGAAGTCACTATGTAATACACTTGCTATCCAGCATGTATTAAAACTAGGACTTCTGGGGGGTTGTAGGACCATTTTCTGTCTAAAGATGCCCAGAATTGTGTACCTTTCCTGTACTGAATGGAGATTCCTTTAAGACAAAAAAGCAAAACAGCAAAAAGGGAACTTTCAGTGCTGCTCTTAATCCAGAGAATTTGACTCAACTGTGTTTTATAAGATGCTATTCAATAAACCCCAAACATACAACAAACAAATCTAGGACATGCAAATGGCTAAAACACATGCAAAATATAGAAGGCCTCAATTGCCAAAACACTCCCCCAAAGAGAGACTTGGATCAATGGCTTAAGTGGGTGAAGTGAAGTTTAATGCAAAACTTGATCTATGCAATTTAGCGCATCTTGTTTATGCTTTCTTGAAGGGGTGAACACTGTGCTTGACCTATTTGCTGGAATTAACCATGAATCCTGGAGACCATATGGATTTGCCAGATGGCTTGCTATAATTTAATGGCATTTATTCTAAGTATGAAGTAAGTGATAAACATAATTAACATTCCTTTAGCTCCTTACTGGATGTCTTTTATTAGTTTCATATTTTTTCAGACATTGAAAGGTAAGTTAATACCTTGTTACTGAAACACAGATGCCTGCTAATTACCTCAGGAGGTTGAAAGCCTCCGAAGCAGGGATCCTCTGCCTAGACTCTCACTTACCCAACGACCCCGCTGTGAAGATTAATAGGCAGAGCGCTAAATCATAATGAGTGTGTCAGATCTCAAATGTTTTTCAGGTTCTCCTAATTAGCATTAAGAGATACAGAGTGTGCCCGCAACATTTTCACCATATCTGTTCTTCCTCTGCATAAACATGCTACCTTGAACATTATGTTCTTCCTGCTTTATTTCAAGCAACAGTACATCAAATGATAGAAATCAAACAATCATATTTAGATAGGAAAAAAACCCAGAGGAATAACTCATCCAAACATTATTATAATTGTTTGCCTATTTCATCCTCTGCCAGTGATTGTTTAATGCTGTATTTCACAGGAAGCAATTTTGCTGTAACTGTGGCTTCAAAGAATATTTACCTTTGGCAAGGTTACCTGCTGTTAGCATGTTAAAGCCATATGACTGCACCGAGATAACGAAAATAACTTTACACAGTTTAATTGTCCTGAGCTTCTTACTTTGTCTATACTATATGGATATTTAATCCCTTTGTGATACTTGGAATTTAGTTTAGATAGATAGGATTCATGGATGGCTAGGCAAAAAATAATAAAAAAGATTCAAGGTGTTTACATATTCTAAAAGAGTGAATGTATGATCAGCACCAAAAGTCAACCAAGGAATGGAATTAACTTTCACTGCAATTATTAGAGGTTTTTGTATGCAAAATGGACAAAACTGGAAATCAACAAGATGGTTTGTCAGGGGGTTATAGCCAATATTAGTCTAATTTATCTTACATTCATTTTGATGGGTATACTCTAAGTAGAACTAGAACATTAGATAAAATAACATTCTTAGACCTTTAGGAATAAGTAGATATTGAGAAAAACTAAAAATGCTTTAATACTTCAGAGATTTGATGGACTGCATTTCAACTCATGCGATCAATAGAACCATATAATTAGAACCAATTCAGTATGTTTTAATTCAGAATCAGCATGAACAATCTTTAATTTAAAAAAACATGTCAAAAAGGTAGGACCTTATATTTCAACCACTGAGGTTCAAGTTCCTCTGACTGCTATGCTCCTCTATGAAGTATCTACATATGAAGCTAAGTTCCTCCTAAGCTAACTATAACATATCAGCAGTGCACCTTATCAAATCACTGCTTAGAGATGATCATTCATCAGGATTCATCAATAACCAGTTCTATTTTCACTGTCCTTTATTACACTTGTTTGTTTCTTTTACCTGAGTATCTGAATTTTGTCCTTACCCTAGTTCTCTTTCTTAGCAAAACTCTGCTTTTAAATTCTTCAGTTCCTCGGAGTTCTTGAGAACCCAGATACTTGTTCACTATTTTGCGACATTGCTATTGCCTGAGAGTGAATTTTGGATTTCTCTTCTCCTTCTGAACCAAAGCAACTTCTTTTGCACTTGCATGGGACATAGTGTTTCTCTAGAGAGCTGCATATTGTTTCCTTTTACTCCCTCTGAACTTCACCTAACACTGTTACTCTGAATATGTGAAAATCAGAGTGTAAAATGCCTACTACACAGCATTTACTCCTGGCTAACAGCATTGAATTATAGTTTAGAGAAGTTTTTCCCAACATGGTGCCCCCCAATATACAGTTCCTATAATTCCCAGTCAGCATGGTTATTGGGCATTTTGGCTGGGAATTATGGGAGTTGCAGACACATCTGGAGAGCCCCAGATTGGGGCAAGCTGCCTTAAAGAGGACAAGAACCACACATTTATGGAACAGAACTTTGCTTACGATACTATGAACGCATTTCAAGCAAAAACAAAAGTTTTAAAGTCTTGGATACCTCCTGCATACATGACAGCCAACATGATCGACGATATCCATGCTATCTCACTATATGTTGTGCCGAAGATCTCCTGAATTTCCTTGAAGAACACTGTGATGGCTTTGGGGAATGCATAAGAAAATCCAATGGAGATGAAAGCTCCAAAGACCACGACCCAACCCCATCCTCCGTCAGGGGGCGCATACTGCGTGGTTGTTGTTGCAGGTGGCATGCTTTATCTTTACAACAGTGCTGCAGTGGGGAAAAAAACAAAACCATGTTTTAAATAGCTTCCTTTCTCTTTAGCAAGCTAAATGTAATAATGAAAGCCCAATAGCAAGCAATAAACCTTTGGCTGGCAGCTGATTCTGAAGTTCCTGTCACTGGATGCTGTAATACAGTTACTCATTTATAAAAGCCAAGTTAGTCTTCATGGGGACGGCAGTGGGTTGGAATCTTGCCTATGGTTACTAGAACCTTCTGAGCGTTTGCATAAGCATTTGCAGGTTATTGATCCAAGGAATGGAGGCTGGACTTGGTAATTTATCAGAGGCAGTAAAGTGACATTTTGGGTCTGCTAGATCAATCTACCCACCTTTATCAAATCCTGTGAAGTGCTGTTAACTTGCACCAAAAGTGAAGGTGATTAGCTCTAATATTGAAATCAATATGCAAAATATTTGATGGAAGTCTTAGAACCCCTTCCATTTTAAAATTTATATCAAAAAGTCATTTTAATGACAAAAAGCTCAAAGCATTATGCAAATAAACTCATGTAATAGAAACCATATGTAAAACATACTAAGAACATAAAGCATGCATCATAGTATTTCTAATAAAGAGCATGGTGTCAGCTGGTTAACCATGGTGGCCTTCCTGATAGTGATCCATGCCCTGGTAATTTCCCAAATGGATGATCTCAATGTGCTGGAAGCATCAACCCATTCAGATTTAGCTATGAGAATGGTGTTTGGTCTAGTTAGATACAACCATATTACATCAATTCCTATAGAATCACACTGACTGCCTATTCATTTCCTAGCCCAACTGAAGGTGTACTGTAGTGCCTGAACTAGACCACCAATAGTGGTTGGCATCCCAGAGTCATCATGCCTTAGGTTCTGAAGAAGAAGACCTTGAAGACTTGGTGATGGGGATTTTGAAAACTCAGGGAGGGGCAGAAGCCTTTGAAGACCCTCAAGGTTGCTGCCCACAGGAGAGCAGATACGTTTTGGAAGAGATGAGAAGTGCCCAAGAAGGGAAGGGGGGAGAGCTGTTGCCTTGCCCAGTCCCTGACCCCGTGACAAAGCACTGGGAGATATGAGCTACCCAGTTACTACCTGAGCTACCCCAGGTCTTGCTGGCTGGCCCTTCACCAGTAGGAACCACCCTGAAGGTAAAGCCCACAACATTTCTGAAAGGCAAAGATCTGGGAGAGAAGTCCCCGGTTTGGGTTCCAACAGTTTACATGAGCAGATTATCTTTTGGCTTGCTAGAGACTTTTAAAAATTATTTTGTCTTGTAGCTGTGAAGTTCTAATAAAGATCTCCATTGCAAAGAGACTGTCAGATGTTTTGGAGCCTAACAGCAAGGAAAGGGCTAAGCTTCAGCAAACCACTTCTTAGTTTTACATTATATGAAGGATGAAGATATGTTACGGCATTCTTCTGTACTACTGAATGCCATGCTAAAATCAGATGGGGATCCAGATTTTCATACATACATACAGGACATCCAGCATTAGAAACGGCTTCGCTTGTGAGCAAAAGCATTCTTCCAATTTGAACTGGTACTATTCTCCCACATTACTTTTTCACAAAATATCATGGGGAAAACTGAACCCACATTGATTCACTGTGCATGAAAATGATAGGGACTGCTCCTTGGTTTCTCAAACATGTATGGCTTGTGTTAGATTGCCCTGAATGGCACTTTTGGAATGTCCAATGGCATGATCACGTAATATGGAAAGTCACTCTGACAATGCAATCATATGCCTATTTTTCCAGAAGTAAATACCACGGAGTGGAATGGAACTCACCCCCAGTGAAGTGGTCCAGAATTATACCCTAAACATGATTAAAATTGAAAATGCTTAAATTTGCTGTTTGAAATGCTTTTTTCATTTTAATGTAAAACGGTGAGATATTTAATTAGAAAGTATTTGATTAAAAAACTAAATTGGATTATAGAAGTTGCCATCTAGAACAGGTGAAGCCAATGGATAAAATACTCTAAGTAATTGTGCTAATTCCTTTTCCATGGTTGGATTTCACATTGCTTTGCAATCTTTAGCCAGTTATCTTCACAACCACTCAGCAACATTATTCAGACTACTTCACAGCAGACAGAAGAATCACATCCACTCAAAGCTGCTCCATACTGACTTATCTCTGCCGCATATATGCGCTTGGCCAATGAACTGCAAGACACAGTGTGTATGTGTGTGTTTGTGTGAGGGACTTTATCCAAGCATCTCAAGTTGTGCAGAGACACCTACATAGTCACACAATTAAATGTGCCTAGAGAGAAGAGATGGAGCCAAAAACAGAGTAATAAGTCAGCATCTTTCCTATTTTGTGTATAGGAATCTGTAGTGATAACAGTTAACAAAGGTCACATAATGGTTGGAAACCAAAAAATGTAAGTTGAGAAGAATCAAAAGCATTAACATGCACATGGGATTAAGTTCCACTAATTTCAAGGGAATTTATTCCCAGATAAGCATGTGTTTATTATATATTTATTTATGTATTGAAAAATTAGAAACCATACCTATAGCCTGTGTTGGTTAGGCTGCCTGTTTCATTGAAGTTTGCTGTTAATCACTTTCTGATCATTGCTTTCAAGTGTGGGAATTGCCTCACTGGAAAGTGTTGTGGCTAAATAACGCAAGGAGATATGAATACTCTGTAGCGTCTGACCTGTGTGATGATGAGTTCACATACCTTTCGATGGTGCAGACCTTAATGATGAAAGGCGACTGTGGACACGCCATCAATCTTGCATGTCCCTGTCATGCTGTTCAGCACATTTGCTGGTCTACAGCCTGACAGGAATGGGCTTCTAAGGCTACAATCCTTTGCACACTAACTGAAGTGTACCCCATTGTCATTAACAGGACTGATAGGCATTCATAGGACTGCATTGTGAGAGGGTGCACTGCCATGCCACTAATGGCTTTCCTGGGTTTGAAGCTTAATGGGAATTGTCCATTTTTGAATATATAACCCTCTTCACAGATAACATACTTAAAGGACAGGCTCTTTCCTCTCATTGAGCTGTTTAAGCTTGATTATGCACACCCTGTTATAAAACCATCTATGCACCATGAGCATAACGTGGATGAATTGAGGTATTATTGGTGATGGCTCTATAATTTTCAAGGCCATTAAACTTTTGCATCCACTGAATTTTACCCCTTTCCTATACCTTTTGTGATGCTGACATGGTTTGGGCAATAAAATTCTGGGTTAATAAGCCAGACCTACATGCCAGCACTTTACTTCATTCAGGAGTAACATCTGATGTTAGCATCACTGGGCAACTTTCAAGGCTCACATCCTTTTGGGGTATCTGCTGTATTTCTCTAGAAATGTCTGAGCACTTCCTCTTTATTTCTGACTGTTTGCCGGACCTCTTTGTTCATAGGAGGAATGACAAAAGTGGGAGTGTCAGTGGCAGCAACATCCAGTTCCCTCATGCTTACCTTCTGGACAGATTAGGCCAAGGAGGAGAAATCAAGCAAATGGACAAAGTTGCAATGAACAGGACAAGTTATGCATGATATGCATGAAAGGCATCTTTGTCCAAGAGCGCTCCTAAACTCAGAATTGACATGTTTCACTTGTGCAAGTGGTGAAACAAGCCAGGAAGCCAACATTAATTGCAGATTCCACTATGTATGATCCAGGTAACTGTGTCTAATTACTTCAAAACAAACTGGGATGTGAAACCTTGATGTAAAGATGGTTTGCAGGGTTTAACTCATAGTCTGATTGGTACTTATCAACCATAGTTCAGGTGAAACTAGAAGCTGTGGTTACCTGCAACTTCCTTCCTTGTTTGTTTCACATAAAAGGAGTGACTTGTGAGTGATGGAGCTGTATATAAATGCACAAAATTCATACATATCCTGGCTTATCAAGCCAAGATTTGACTTCCAAGTGCAAATGCTCTTTATTTCTCTATGGTGTTCTACATTCTGCACCTACCCTGGCCTAGTGGGTAAATTAATGCCACCGCCAACAAATAACAATGTAGAGGCATACCTGCCAAATTGCCAGCATTTCACAGCAGCTTTATTTTACTTGTAATTAGATTACACAACTCTGATCCAACAGAAGACACACAGAGGAGCCAAGCATGGGTATGTGGAACCCCTGTTAAAAAAGCAAAGGCCCCAGAGAGCTGTTTCATGGAAAATGAAGAGTAGGTAAGGCTGTCAAACAGCAGTAAATAAAAAAGTCAGGGTTGTGGATTGCAGGAATAGTGTATACAGAGATTTGAAAAGAAAGTTTACACACAACATTCCCTGGAATGTGTGGTTCCAAAACCAGCTAGGAATATTCGTGTCAGGTGTTGCATACATATTTCCCCATCTTTGGATTAGCATCAATGAATATAATGGGCATCAGCTGGAGCAGAGCAAATGAATGTAATTGAGATCTTGCTTGAAAATGAGCAAATATGCAAGTACCATTGCCATCTGATTGGTTGACAAAAGCAGGTAGCACTGAATATGTCATAGCTCGCATTTGGAAGAGATGAAAACTGCAGTAACAAGGTCAGAGGAACAGCCATGACAAATAATTCATCTTGATATCATGCACTGTAGATTTGAGTCAATCAAGATCAACCTGCTTAGCCGGCTCATCTGCAAATGCTTCATTAATATTCCTTGCTTGCCAACTGACAAAACCAACTGCCAAGGCAATAAATATTATCAAGAGAAACTGAAAATGCCCAACTCTCTTTCAATGTTTACAAAACCTTGGCATTTATTGTAGGGTAGCCATTCCCAACTGGGTGCCTCAAGTTATTTTTGATTATGGCACCCATCAGCCACACCAAATTTGGTCAATGGCCCACCATGATGGGAGCTGTAGTCCAAAAACACATCTGTGAGTCACCAGGATTGGGAAGGCTGTTATAGGGCATAGTCCCATTTTGATCATGGTACATGTCTGCATGTTGCTGGGGCTTTGATTTTTGTTTGATATTAGTATGCTACACTACTATTAATTGATGAA